ACCGGAGAAAAACCGGTTTTCGGTCAAACCGAAAACCGGTTTTGGCATTTCTAAAAACCGGTTTTTGGTCAAAATTTTAAATTTTTAAACGCTTGCATTTTTCGAATTTTGACGCCATTTGACAAAATTGATAACATTCATGCTTGAAATTAAGGCCTGGAATTATTTTTAAAAACTATTTAATAATTTTTAACAGAAGTTTGCTAGTTCTTTGGATTAACGCAATTTTAAAAGTTGTAAAAACAATCAACAAATTTAAAAGCAATGAATTTGAAAAACTACATAAATTATTAGCAGGTGTTCGTATTCAACTGCGATAACGGCTTTTTAACTCCTTTAACTTTTTAAGGGATTCCGTATTTCATTCATAAATTAATACCGGGAACTTCACATTCCTAGTTGCATAAATTATTTTTTCGAATAAACTTCGAACGTGGTTCTAACCTACATAGAAACACGTGCAAAAATCTGAAGTTATAGCATTTTAATAGCTTTAATTTATGGCTGAAAATTGTATGAATGTGTATTTTTAAAAGTCATACATGTACATATGTATGTATGTATGTGCGGTCCGACTTGTGCAAAATTCTATGTTGTCCATGATTGGACACAAATTTCTCCCGTCAAAATCCAGTGCAAATTTTACAATAAGGTTGTTCGTGTAGGCATACGCCAAAAATGTGTAACCTTGCAAATGGAAAAAATCTTAAAGATGACACACTAGTCTCTTTTTTGTATCTCATTTCCTATAGGAAATTATTACATCTAGAGGTAGATAGTGCTTTCCTATAATTTTTATAATAAAACTAGGCTTCGGTTACATATTTACAATTAATTGGCATCTTCATATTACCTACGTTAACAGATAATCCATTAATTTAGCATATTTATTTCCTCAAGGAATTAGAGAAGATATATTTTTCATTAGTTTGACGTTTTTCATGGATCTTTCCGTTATGCCATTGTTCTTAAGCTTAGGGCTTTTAAATTTACGATACCCACATAATTAATTTTTCTTCCCGTCTAGTGCACAAAATATTATTTTGGAAAAACGGTGAAAAACCGGTTTTTCACCGGTTTTGGTGGGTGGAAAACCGGAAAAACCGAAAACCGGTTTTCAGAAAAGGGTCCGGTTTTGAATTCCCTATCCCTAACCTTAATCAAAAACGAAGAAATCATATTGAACAAATAGGAGTAGGTCAGTTTTGCTCTGGTATGTACAAAATTTTGTTATCGGGTAGAATTTGATTCACTTATTTCGTGGCGTATCCATTTATGTATCTTTATGTATCATTTATGTATATATCCATTTATGTGGAACTTTTCAAAAAGAAAAGTTGCCAAGCCAAAACTTATACATAGACCAAAAATTATAAATAAGCTTAACAGATTATCAATACGAATGAGATCTTCATATCGAAGGCTTTCCGTGTGATCAGCAAACACTTTTTGTTCCCTTAGCAACCTTCGGGTCATCTTTTTCGAATTGTAAATAAAAACGTTCCCGACATTGTTTTTCCAAAATTCAAAAAATCCAAACTCTCGAATAGCCCCGAGTAAAGACAACACCTCTACCCTTACACTCAAAAATGCCATCTCATAATTTTCCGTTTTGTAAAATATTTCTGGGGTGAATCTACATTGAATTTTGGATCTAGCATTGCCAACTTCTTGTTCTGCCCTGGCTATCTTCTTGTCTTCTTGTTGTGTCGGAAATGCCATCATGATCTTCAGTGTCCTATTTTTTATTTGCGTTCGTGTTAGGCGTTTAGTTCCGTAGAAAAATTTCTTATTTCTGATCCACCCCGCGATCCCTAATTTTTCAAAGACATGATCATACCGGTTTAAGTAAGCGTCGCCTGATATGTCTGTCGAGTTATTTGTTGAAGCCCTCTTGAACCCAATTTTGTATCCCATTTTCAATAATGACACGAAACTTGGGTTTCTTTCCACTTTTGAAGGCACCACGATCGTACTGGTAAAATACGATTCGTACACTGCTAAACTGGCAATCATACTAATGTGGAGAACCCATTTGAGCTTCGTGTTAGTTCCACATATCTGTCTGAAACAAACTGCGACCACGATGAACAAGTTTGACATAAATTTTGTTGTCAGTAAACTAAACGTAGATTTATGTATCCCATTTTCAATAGCGCCAATTGCAATCGCCGAAGCCATCATAATAAGTAGAAGCGTGATCCATACACTAAGTTTGAATGGTGTCACCCAAGCCCACAAACGCAAACTTCTAGTCTTTAAGCTACCCCCAAATTCGCAGTACTTGAGTTTTGTCGTTATTTGAAATTTTAGCCTTAAGCTGGTAAGGAGATGACGCTTTTGGATATCTATTACTGCTAAATGTAGAACTCCACAAGTTAAATTGAGAAACCCTTGATAATCATTAAAAGATAAGTTTAACTTGGACGATAAAAACTCAGGTATCATTCGATAATATGGACATGGATTGCTCGGCGTTACCCAAGGCGACGCTTCACATGTTGATATTCGTTTCCTAAACGGATCTGTGCCAGTGACAAGATTAAATAAAAATCTTTTCCGGTCAAGTCTTCTTCTAAGGGAGAGATGCTTTAATTCAACAAATTCAGATATTCCATCCACTTCGTGAAGGCTTATCCACACTTGACCGGAACAGAAGTGGCAATAAAAACCCCACCGGACATCGATGACCGATGGAATAACATTATGATAAGTAAGTTCGAGCACAAGGGTAAATATTCTAGTAGAAATTGTCCGATATTTGCAATTTGACAAGGTAGGGAATTTAACCGACGATTTGGGCCAAACCATGATAACCGATGTCTTGTAATCTGCCACATAAGCGAATAAACCCGAGAAAATAAAGGTTTCGATGTTCGTCATCTCCCACCTTCTTTCTGGGACTTTTACAATGATATTCAGTACGCATTCTGGTGTAACTAATCGTGTCGCTTGAAAATCTGTGGGTGCTATGACAGCTGTTGTTTTTAGCGTAAATACCGACCCGCTATTAGCGTGAAGTACCTTTTCAAATATATCCACAGCAATTTTAACATAATTGAAGGGGGCACTATCTAAATAATTTAACCGTATAAAACAAGAGCCAAAGTTAGATAAATTTATTTTGCTGCAATCTACGAAACACAATAATGCAACCAAAATTCCTGCCTTTGGAAATTTCATTTTAAATACTTTCTCCAGAACGGGGTTTATTTAGTAAGTTAAATTTTATACTTGAATATGTTTGTCCACGTGTCACCAAATGATTAGTTCCTTAGAACCGACATAAATACTTAACCTTCAATGCATGTTTCACTTCAAGGTGACTTTTGAATAACCCCGTATTATTAGCATTTTCGAGAAAAAGTCATCACAGAATTACCTGTGGGCGTGTATCGCGTGTCGGAATCCTTTCTCTGGCAAGGAGACATCGTGTCCTTTGACCAAAAAGCAATCTACATACAGTAACTACTTATGTAAGATATGTATGTATACCGCATCACGGTAACAGACTGCTACAATTACAACCTGGCAATAATTGAAGACCTGCTCAATTTTTTCGGTCATATTAAAATTGAATATCTCTTCAAAAACTAGAAATTCTTAAAAGTTGTCGGATATTTTTGAGAGACTAAATTTGACATTTTTCAGTTTTGTCGTTAACCCTTTTTTTCTAAGGCCGATCTTCATACAAGCTTAAAGTGCATAAAGTTATGTACAAAAATTGCAATTTTGTAATTTTAGTTCTTAAACTAAATGGATACGATTATTGGTAACTGCTAAAATTGGAGCCGGTTTTTAAATCTTAAACTCATGGGGTCAATACCTGGATATAAATAAAGTATCTAAATACGGTGTGTGTCAACATAAAAGCGCTGACCTATTTTCCAATGTAAAAACACAATTCACATGTGCCACTCTATATGTTCATATATTTGGAAGGATATTTGGACTTTGTGACTCATTTAGAGTCATTCCTATCTACGTTTAAGCTGCCACGATAAGGACTATCTTTGCACAACCTGATTAATATTTGTCGCATGAAAGTAGATCTTATTCAAGTCTTGATTAACTGGTGGCTTATTTACTTTTCTCAACACGTTAAAGAGAACGAACTGACTCACAAGATTTAGCTTCATCTGAAGAAGAGAATTGGGCACGATAAAAATATCCACACTTAAAAATGGTGTTACCCTTTTGAATAGGACATAAATTCACTCTGCATTGTAAATGGAGTAAACTGCAATAAATCGATTCTAATTAATCGATCCTAATTAAAAATAGCTCCATTATTCACTAAGTAATTAGAATTATTGGCATCTATCAGTCGATTACGCAAGATGGTGCAAAACCATTAGCTTAATCTATCTGCAACGCGGACTATAAAATTCCGGAAAAAAATAATTACAAAATTTTGATACCATGATTTCATACAAAATTTTGCCAAATTATGCATCCATTTTCCTCACTCATTTTCCACCATTGGTGCAAAATTTATCAAAATATTGTATCTATTTTGTCCGCTTATTCTGCACCATAGGAGCAGAGTTATGTATGTCCAAATTATTTTCCAAACTTTGAAACGGTTTATTCATTCCTTCGCCATGTGGGGAAGCCACTCCTGAGTTTATTTTAAGTCACAAATATACCTAACCCAAATATGTGCGCATCCGTTCTCATTTACATATTATATCTTTATCCACATAAATTTGCATTCATGCATGCATGAATGTACTTGGTTTTAAGATATACATGCATATCTATATATTAACCAGATATTTTACACACGTTAGTATCAAACTTCCAGTCTTCGGCTGGATGAGATAGTCCGATCAAATATGTAAATAAACAAATCTCAGGTTGGACTACATGCAAAAAATAAATAAAAACGGACCGAATGATAACATATCCACGTAACAATGCTGTTTGCCTTATAAATAGATTTGCAAGCTTATTTCACCAACAAAAAACAGGTTACAATATTCCATATAAATACAAAATGTAGCTCACTTGACCCGCATTACTCTTACAAAAAGCTACGACTGACTCGGTCTACAAAAATCTCGCGTAATAAATTTCCTTAATTCAAAAATTCCTTAAATTTCAATCTCCCCCAAAATGGCCACTGTCGCCACGCTCACCACCCTGTTAACGGCCATACCACCGGAATCCTCCGACACTGCGTCCGTTCTTCGACTACGCCTCACCGATCGGGCCAACGAGCTTCACCGCAACCGAGAACAATTGGGCCAGCACGGAATCCAACCGACGTGGTCGCAGTCTTTGTACAATTTAATCCCCACTGCGCCATGGGCGGAAGAGATCGAGCTTGGTACGGAATTAGAAGGTCCCGCGACGGAAGAGGAGACAGAGAGAAATATGGTAAGACGAACAATAATCAAAACTGGAAGTTCGAGACGCGCAAAAAAATGTATTTTGGAAAGATTATGTATGGAGCTGATTTTTGTAAGGGAAACGCGTTTTTAGAAATTCGAAAAAATCAAATATAACACGCATTACTTGAAAAATTAGATTTTTTAAATTCTTTTTAGATTATTCTCGAGGGAGAAGTATTTATATATAAAAAAATTATTGGTACCGTTGCACTCACAAAAACCAACTCTACAAATTTAAACAAATCTTACGAAAATTAATCTTTGTATAGTTTCTCAAAATTCCGGTTTGTATTATTATATTTTTATTTGTGCTTTAAAATATAAATTTAAAGTGTAATCAAAATTACCTGTTTCATGTAAACCTTTTTCTTCAAGAAAAAACTACGGGCACGATTTGAAAAGATGCGTGAAGCTTTGAATGCTCATGAGACCAGTGCGATAAGGGAAATGCGCCATTTATCTAGAGTCCAACAGGAGGAAGTTCTCACCTTCTGGGAGCTAGCATCCAGCTTGTTTATGGACGTGTTGACCTGGCTGCAAACCGCGTTTCTGGAGGTTCTCGCGAAAATCAAGCAGGGTTGCAGAATCGTGAAGAGGGTGCTGGTCGACATTTTTAAAACGGTGAGGGACTTACTGAAGAAAGTTTTTCTTTGAAATTGTCAACCATTTATTTTGAATCATAAATAAAGTTTGTCATTTTTACATGTGAATATTGTTTGAATAATTCATAAATACTAGATAAAATCAAATGCGGTCGACATAAATTATTTGACATATGTATTTATTCTACACATAAACGAATAAAAAATTATTTGTGGGACATAATTTGCATGGAAATTTTCATAATTGAGATAATTTGATTTAGAATGATATGAACGTGTTTTGTCGAGCGAATTATTTTTCTCTGTCAATAGTTTTTGATGCATAAAATAATTATACTCTCAGAAAACTGGTATTAAATCATTGCAGAGCGGAGTACTTACATATTTATATGACTCTACCAGCACTGGTATTAACGGACTTTACCGTTCAGTAATGTTATGGTAGCTAAAAATTTACCACTCAGGAACAATTTTCTGCCAATCCGATAGGAAATTATTACCAAATCAATACCAGCCCGAGGTATCTATGTGACTCTACCAGATTTTTAACAGTGTGTATCTACAACCGTATTACAACTACATATTTACCAGTATGTACATAAGTATAGCAAATGCACGATCCACACCTTATCCACCTCATAGCTTATCTTATCTTTTCAACCTTACAAAACCAATTAGCTGACTCACCCGTGCAAGTTGATACTTGAACAACTGCACAATACTAAAGTTTAGTAACTTATATATTACCAAAAAATACTTTAATGCATTGTAATTTACGTCGTAACAAGATAAAGAAAACCGTTAATTTCAATACATAAGATGGGCGACATAATAAGAAGCTTGTACACTTCTCCAACCACTCAGGGTTTGAACATTGTCACAGTTGTTGACGCGGTGAGTGATTAAGTCTTGTTCATTTCGGTGGGATAATTAATTTCTACACTGTACGAAATCCAGTATTAAAATATATAATACCACGTGGTGCTCTTATGTGGCATAATAAAAGTGGTATTGTTAAGTAATTTGTGGAGTAATAACTATTGATTTCTCAGTGTTAAAGTTTCATCCATTGCGTATTAAGAGTATGCGGCAGTTCTTGAAAATTTATTACGCATCTGGTGAAACTTCAGTACCGAGCAGCATACATATATAAATTTTAAATGTAAATGAATACAAATGTTACTGCACGGTATTGCTTATCAATACCACACTGACAGCTTCATAGATAAACGAATACCGTCTGATATGCTTTTAATACTGGATTTCTGAGTAACAGTCTAATTATTAATTTATCTTATAGCTCTCCAGCCTAGCCACGTTGAACCTTCTTATCGCCGCGGAAATTAAATATTCGAAAGGAATATATGACAAAGGTATGTACCCTTTGTAAAACTTCCTTTCCGGAAATTATCCAATTTTAAAATTTACCAGACTTTTTCCAGACTTTGCCACAATTGTTACCGTCCTGATGGTAATTTTTGGCACGGTTGGACTCTGCTTAACAATCTGTTTCTACAAAGCTGTCCGTAACCAATTCAGCGAGGGCGGCGTCGCGGTCGCCTACTACAGATTGTGGCTGCTCCTTAAAACGCTCGTTTATCTGGTCGACCTTATCCTCATACTTATCCACGCGCCTGCCAGGATGTATGGACTTCCCCATTTCATGGTCAATTCTCTCGCCGCATTTTTCTTTTTCTTTGCAACTTTGGTAATTGTGATTAATCTGTTCCGGGGCGATTCCAACTATTAATTATTTAACTACACTCTAAGTAAAATTTACTCAAGGTTGAGTAGAAAATGATCCAACCTACAACAAAATTTATTCACCCGTTGGCCAAATTTTGCACAACTTTGGCCATCTTCGTTTTTACTCAACCTTCAGTAAATTTTATTTATGTGTATTTAGAGGATACAAGTAACGCTGACGATATGTTTAAGTGCGACGAAAATGTAATAATCTTATGTATATAGATATTGAAAATAAACCAATTTATCAAATCGGAAATGCAATTTTACATGTCTTGACCTAACCCAGAAGTTTTACTTGTGCATTTTTTACGTATGTATGCACATCATTAAAATTACATACAAATGTTAATCACCTTAAATTAACACAAATCATGATATAAATTCACCTTTCATTAAGGAACAAATTCCATTGTACATATGTAAATGTGTAAATAGGCTCCTCAAAACTTAACAACCTATCAAAATTTTTACGTAAAACGAACAATGCGTCCAGGTACCGCTGCACTTCGTTAAACAAGGAAGGCTAAATATTTCTAGGTCGTGATATAACTCACCCAGATTAGCACCATTCGTGCAGGATTTGGTATGATATACGGTCTCGGAGTGGGGGTAATTTTGGGCTTACTTCTAATCTAAAAAAGTGTCATGACCCTCAAGCACGTGGTCAATCACGTTTTAAAAATTTGGTAAAACTCGTCACATCCTTTACGCACAACAGTAGCTACCCTGCACATAATTTATTTGACAAGCCGATTATAATTTTTCGTTTATCGGGGTCAACGTCATACATAGGGCTGGTTGTGACTGACGGTAGCAAATCAACATGTTAAACATGTTATTTCTCCGCATTTTGTGCATTAGCGTGGCCTTTATTCGTTCTGGTTTAAGTGATCCCTACGGTTACGGGAGTGATGAGTACGCAGCCGCGAAACAGGCCGCCTTGGACAGGCACAACATGTACCGTTCTTGGCACGGCATGCCACCCATGACGATGAACGAGGAGGTAAGCTGACATAAATTATTGTCTATTAAAAAATGGGTCTTTAAATTAAAAAGAATTATATAAACAAACTCTGCCAGATAACTCCTTAGATTTTTAGGCTCTATTTTTTGAGCGAATAATAAAAAAACGATTGTCGCCATAAGTATAAATAAGTTCAGTCCAACGAAAACCAATTTAATACCGTTAATTTAGCTAAATTTGTTTGTATTTTTTTTAATGTCACTTAAACCTAATTTTAGGTTTTAAACGTGTTCAGATTTGGGTATTTAGATCACAATTTCCAAAAATATGTTACAGGGCAACGCAAAATTTCGCAGTAAATTCTCAAAAACTAATCCGGATTAACTATTATAAATTATTCCTTAATGACAAAAAGGAATCCAATGTGTTCAATATTCATTCTGAATTAAAAAAACAGGACTGTGACATTTTAATTCTTGATTACAAAAAGTTATTGGCAATATTTTAAGCTAATCCTTAATAAAAAATCCTGCTTGCGTAAATTTAATCCGCATGGTTCCCAGAAAATTCTACCAAATTATAATCGGATTACTAATATTAATAAATATCGGATTATTAATAAATCTAAAAACGCGATTATCGCAGAAACTAATCCGTAGTAACTAATCCTTAAACCCTACAAAAAATGAATCATTCAATTCTATCTATCTAATAACCTAGCTGAGCGATTCTGCCGAGGAATGGGCCTCCATTTTAGCGTCTGGTCAACAAACCGGACATTCTCCGAAAGAGTGGCGTAACAGGACGGGCGAACCTCTCGGAGAGAATTTGTACCACTACTGGAGCACCGAACCTGGACTGCATCCCGACATCATGGAACATTTCTTAGCCGCTGTGGACGGCTGGTATTACGAACTTTGCGATGGCGTCAAATACCCCCGCTTTGACTCTAATGGCGACTGGAATTTGAATCATAACACGCAAGTTTTGTGGCGGGATAGTGTCGAGGTAAAGTAAATTTGGGAAATTATTAATAGAAACAAGACAAACACTGGCTATTGGTTCGTCACCATGGTATTCTTAGCCTCGTGAAGTACATAAGTTACGAGGGTTACGAGATTTTGTAAGCGTGATAAGATTTTGTCAGCAAAAATCTCGATTTTTGTGAAGCTTGATCCGATTGTTCTTCGTAAACTATTTTATGATACCAAGGAAATTGTGAATACTCTAATCGTTTACAAGGCGGGCAAATTGTTTTCAAATTTGTATCCCCCCGCCGATAAATTAAAATCTTAATATTCCCCGGTTACATTAGTTTAACATTTATGCACAGGTCGGGATGGGCTTCGCTACGCAAGCATCCGGCGGCAAGACGATGGTCGAAGTGGCGGCGCACTACCTCCCCACGGGGAACTGGGTATCGGAAGGGGGCGACAACCTTGGACCACCCATCTGCCACACGGAGCAGCAAATTTGCTCTGCCTACGCGGCCGAAGAACCACTGGAGGGATACTGCGGGGGAAATGCGTAAGGGAATTTATTGACTATAATTATTTTACAAGTTATAAGCTTTCCCGCAATTTACCAACAATTCTTCGAGACATGTGGATTTATGCATTAACCATTAGGCTAAATTATACTCATGATAATTCATATCAAAAATTTACAAAATTCCGTCTTCATATCCTCATGGATCGTCGTTAATGCTTAGCACATCAAATTTGGCCAGCCTAAAGATTTCTAGATATCCGTTTTTCGAATGTTAGTCAATTCTATATTTTAGAATTTTGTACTATTCGAGGCAGAACCAACAGCGTCATTCTGGCACAATTTCACGTATAGTGTCATAACGATTTAAATAATTTTAAGTACTTAAACGATCATTTACAAAATTCCAGACTTGTCCCGATACACAAACCTGAACCAGGTCAAGGTTCCCAAGAAAGAGAGGGGACGCGACAACACATCAGTACACCCGACGAACCCCCCGTGGAGGATGAAGCGTCCGCGGAAGAAACGCTCGCACCGCAAGAACAAGGATCCATGCAAATGTTCGGCAACCCATTTATGATGAATGGAGGCTTGTTCGATAGCATGTTGGGCAGCATGAATGACCGCATGAAGGGGTACAAACAACCCGAAACGACGGGAGGCGATATTAATGCTTACCGAGAAGGAGAGGATTCGGATCAGCATGAAAAGGGTGAAGAAACAAGCGACCCAAATGCCGGCAATGATGAGAGTAAAGAAAACCATGGAGATGCCGCAGATGAGTCGAATGGCGGATCAAAGCCCGCGTCGGAGGAGGAATCCGGGACACAGGGTGGAACGCCAAATTACGGCATGCAGAATGGTATGATGCCCAATGGGATGGCCTCTAATGGGATGGTGCCCAACGGGATGGCCCTTAATGGGATGGCCCCTAATGGGATGGCGCCCAATGGGATGGTCCCTAATGGGATGGTCCCTAATGGGACGATGCCAAATGGAATGGCTCCAAATGGGATGATGCCCAACGGTGTTGCGCCCTACGGTATGATGCCCAATGGGATGGTCCCTAATGGGATGGCGCCCAATGGAATGATGCCCAATGGCATCATGCCCAACGGTATGCCGCTCAACGGTATGATGCCGTACGGCAGTAACAATCCAGTCGGAGGAGCCGGTTATTCTCCGAGTAGCGGACCAAAACCCGCGTCATCGGAGGAGGAATCCAGCACATCAAAATATGACTCCCCCAACGGTATCATCCCGTTCCCCAACATTAACCCGGCTGCAGGTCCCGTATATGGCCCAGTTGGCGGATCAAAACCTGCGTCATCTGAAGAGGAATCCACCACCCCGAGTGGCATGTCAAATTACCCCATGTCCAGCGGTATGGCACCGTTTGGCGGTATGATGCCTTTCGGCAGTATGCAACGGAATGAATAACGATATGTTCAGTGGCAGTATGTTCAACAGCGGGAATACGCCAGACGGCGGCAAGTTTCAAGTTTTTCAAAAACAAGACCCAAGCGCCGGTAGTTCCTCGTGGGGTTGGAACTACAAGTCTTGATGAAAATTTAAAAAAATATTCTAGGCCAACTTTTCCTATTAAAACCAACTCTCATATTTTGCACAGAAATGCGAAGAAGTATATTTCAAAAATATATATGAATAAATACGTCGTTTTCCAATTAACCAATTTATTTGAAATTACTCTCTATATTATTGGCAACTTAGGTTAAAATTGGCAAAACAAATATTAACTATGTCATTAGTTAAAGATATCAAGATAACTTTCAATCTAATAAATAAATTTTGGCAAATAAAATGTGTATCCCTTAATTCGTAATAACTTTGGATAACATTCAAAATTCTGTGCAGAAGAGTGTGATGAAATTCTGAATAAAATAAAATATTTTTTTCTTAACGTTACAGAATCTTTTTAATACGTACATTTTGTACAAGTTAACTAGTTCACCAAAATAAGAACTAAATATTTAATTCTAGTATGGGTACATGAGTTGTAGGAGATGACCATTAAAACGGACCGATATAAATAATTCTGCTTTATGTTATCGCTATTCCCGTCCGTCCCATAATTTTAGACACTGGCCTCAGTTCAAAAAGAGGTCCCTGCGGTCAAGACAAATGATGCCAAATTGGATCTTAAGTTTTATATGCGATGTCCTTTAAAACGAAATATTAATTGGTTCGACGCTACATTCGATCACAATGGTGTTTAATTTGTTTTTATTCCATACACATTTACATATCTATTTTTAAATCCTGACCAAATATTTCCAATATTTGAATGTTTTCACCCAGAAATTGCAACTTGCAAAGTATGATCTCCTTGCTTCGGTAGATAAATCGTGGCATCTGCCTTAACCGTGCAACCTTGCGCGACAGATCCCGCCCTGCTCGGATACTCGCTGTGAAGACTGTTGATATATGAGAACTCTTGAGTCGACCGAATACAAATCGTTCTCCCTTCGAAGTTTGGAAACTCGGAAATTGTCCAGTTCGACCAGCCCGTCACGGCCAGGGCCGTAATTCGGAAGGGGGTCCCCATCCAGGTCCTCTGGTCAAAATAGTGCTCCCTCGACATTTCCAGACTCGCAAAAGTATCTTCATACAAACTTAGCGAAATTTGAGACGTGTCCGGGTTTGCCAAGGGACGGACAAATTTTAACGCGGATGGGGAAAACATGAAGGATGGGTCACAATTTTCTTCGACATAGTGGGCCAACCCGTAACTGCTCGTTTCTCCGATCGACACGTAATTCCACCTGGGGAAATATGAAATTTGTGGGTGTGCAAAAAGAATTTTGGATTAAATACATCGGAATATTTTCAAAAAAAAAAATTTTACCTCTCAAATTTCAAAGTCATTATTTTTATAAATTAAGTAAACTGTACGAAATCCAGCGTGAACCTTGCTCTTTGTTAATTTAACGTTACTTTAGATTTAGTGAAACTTGCTTAATTTAGAATTCAGACTGCACTTACTTTTCAAAAGGGTAACATTATTTTTAAGGGCGCAAATCTTTTAGTGTGAACTAAGAATTAAGTGTTTCTCTTATATAAAATCCGGGTAATGATCAATTACAACTCAAAAATATATATATATATAATGATTCTAAACTATTTTAAAAATCAAAAACTTAAAAATCCCTTACATTCCGAGCATACAGCCCGACCATTTATAATTTAGTCGTTGGAGGGAAGAATTATCCGCTTTGGTAAAAATGTGACCATCCCCTTGGTAATTTTCTTCCTCCCAGAACGTTAGCTTCGCCTGCAGGGTGTCACTCCTTGGGAGGAGACATGCCATCAAAATGGTTGCGACGACGATACGAAAAATATTCGAGACAATTTTGCAACCCATATTTTTCAAGTTTATGTAGTCAACTTTATTTTTTTCAATCCTTTACAAGAAAGCAAAAGATTTATTGCAAGGTAAATAAAATCTGCTCTCAATTCTATCCACCTGACTGTCACGATGACTATGACACGAGCTGATTTATATTTATCAAAGTTGTCAATGCCGTGACGACATTGAGATAATTTATTAAACGAAACTTGTTTTTTCTTCAAGCTTATTACATACATTGGAAAATCCGAGTTTCATCATTAATAATTAATTGAACTCTGTCCACACCTCGTGTCGAACCTTGCCCCTATCTGGAGAAGATAGTTCCAGCAGCCAATAAAACGTGAGGATCAGGAAGGTGGAACGAAACAGAGAAAAACCAGGGTTCACCATTCTTAGCATACACGAAACCATATCAGTTTCCCCAGTTTTTGTGAACTCTTAGAAATTTATCGTTGAAAATGATTTCTCGGTATTAAAATTTCTACCGCTTGGTATGGTACTAGAATTTTACCGGTCCCGTAAAAATTTTCTACCTATATATACATAGGTAGTACCACCTGTTATTAAATATTTGGGTACTTAGAGCGGGTCCTATGGGAACCCGATCACTAGGAATTATGCCCAGAAAATGGTCAAAAATGATTTTTAAGATCTCAAATTTTTGTAGAATATTATAAATACATCTAGCATCCAATTTCCGGAACGATTAAGACCTAAGTCCATCGTCAATCTCGTATTGAAGGTTCTTCTTCACGCCCGCCATTACTGCATTTTCGGAAGACTTTGCAACTTCAATGCTAATTATCTCCTACTTGAATCAAAATTTTCTTAAAGTATCGACTGTTTCACAAAGCTGGGAGTATGTCTTCTTACATATGGCCCACATTATTTTATTGCGCGAAGATAAGGGTTGAATGTGATGTTATCATTTTCAACATCAAACTGAATTTTTTTTCGATTTCTTCTATGATAGTTTTTGCATAGTGGAATGGTCCACGGTCGGTCCAAAAAATTACGTTTTGTATTTCATGATACCTCATTATGAAAGGAATCAGACGGTCTATTATACATTTCTAGAACAGACATGTGTTCCCACACAGTCCATGTGAACTTAATGGTCACAAACATGCCCAATTTGGCCTAATGCCAGAAAAATGGAGAATTTCTTGAGAAATTTTTAATAACATTTTAATTTCTCGTCTGTTTTCACTTCAGATATGTACTTGCCATGAAAAAATTACCTTCCTGGAATTTCTGTCACGTTATTAACGACGTAGGAATCGTGGCCAATGTCCAACTTTTTGGCGAAATTTTGCTGTAGAGCTTGGGACGTCTTGCGTTTACCATTTTTTCTTGACCTTCCGTATATTTTTGTGCAGATTTTTTTGCATACGTTTTGACCCACAATTTATGGATCTTAATATGATACACGTAGTTTGTATTAAGCATTGACTTCTTGGCAGCATCGGGCACGGACGTGGAGCGACACTTTCCAAAAATAAATTTAATCGTTTTTAACTTTCAAGAGGTCATTGTGATGGTTGTTACTAACGGTGCGTATTTGAGGTCGACATTTTCGGATTCCCCATACTTTTTTCTGTAAGTCTTAATTTTTGCACGACCACGCCCTTCTCCGTTGAAATGCAGTTAAGTCTTCTCGAGTCATTGTCACTCAAAATTTTGGTACTTTCAAAAACTCGATTCGGGAGTTCGTCGCTTTAAAGTGGTGTAGGAAATTTATGTTTCATTGAAAACTTATGAAATTTTGAGGGTGCGTGGTTAGATATATTTAGCATATTCTGCACGAATTTCGGATTTCTAAACCTGTTTTTGACGACTCTGCCATTAAACTCCCTAGTGATCGGGTTCCTATAGGACCCACTCTATCTACTAAATTTTAAAAAAGTGTACAGATTTTCAAAAAACGAGTCTCCTCAAGAGGCGTTAATGTTTGTCTCGGAACTAACATTTATTGCCATCCGGTGACAGATTTGCTACCATGACTGAACATACATTCTTCACTTTTTCACATAATAATATGTATCTTTGAAGACCAATAAAAACCAAGAATGGGGAACCCTCTTTTCCAAAAGTGTTTTCTCGTGTTAAACATCAATCAAAGATAATTGGCATTCATTACGCAATCAAACGTGACTCAACCCGTCACGCCATAAATTAATAAACAGTGACATATTTACACCTGTTCGGCAATCTAGTTATGTCTGGTTGTCAAAAAACAATTGCATAGATAAAGTGATGCAATACTAAACACGATATAAATTAGTCTCATATTCCTCATCTTTAACAAACAGAACTCATTCATCCCACGCCAGCCACGTGTAACAGCAGCATAGAGAAAAAAAACAGAAATATGAATTTCCGTAAGTACCTCGATATTTCACACTTAAAAATTATGTTACCTTTTTAAAAAGTAAATTAACTCTATACAAAATTCTGAGTAAACTTCATTTTTTATCAAGTTTGCGTTGCTTTTGATTTGGCATAATTTTCTTGACATGAAAATTGTTGATTATTTTTTTCGAAAAGTTGGTATTATTTTTAAGAGTGTATATTAATTTAATAAAATTATTATAGACGATTTCCATGAGCTATCGGCGGTAAAAAACGTCATATTTTATTTTTCGGTGTTTGAGCTCAAAAACCTGTTCACCATGATTGAACTATCCGATTTGATCAGTTTTTAAAATTTCCATGACCCCCTACGTGTAATGGCATGGGCGAAAGCAGTACCTTTTTTGACAAAACCTGCCAACTTTCTCCCTCGATTGTGAAGCAGCCAGTAGGCCCACAGCGGTCAAACTTCGCATGGATAATCCCCAGGATATGCTCTAGGGTCGTTCGGAAGCGCTAGGTCCTATTCGTACTTGATGACCTCAAAATGACAGGAGGTCAACTTACAAAGTTGACTCATTCATCACTATTCTTGGAATAGCTCCCATTTCGTCAATTCTGGACAGATTTTCTTCATATTTGGTACAAATTGATCTGAATGGATCGTATTTTCATATTCGCCAAAAATTTCTAATTTTTTTCAAGGTCAACAAGTTTTGCGCACTAGCTGAAAAGGTCAATAGGCCAAGTCTCACATAACCCCATAAATGGGGTATCGTTGGAAAGGTCCGGAGGATTCAAAATATATATACTTTGTGTGGCCTGGGACCACCCCCCGATTTTATAGAGACCGAGGAGCATTATTTATTAAGTAGCTTCAGCTACTTTATGTGAAGACTTTGTCTGTCCGTCTGTCTGTCAGCAGGATATCAGGAGAACGGGTCGAGATAATCGAAATCGGTTTTCGCCATCATACATAGGACCCCAGGGGGAGGATCCTATCAACTTTTGGAGGCAACCGGACCACACCCCCTTTGGCGACAGGGGGTGTGGTCGGGGCAAAATGAGATTTTTAGTGCAATTTAATCTATAGGTGAAATAGAGTAAAATTATGTGTTCCGGAGTTGTGCCACACCCCCTCGGCGCCAGGGGGTGTGGTTGGGGCAAAATGAGATTTTTAGTGCAATTTAATCTATGGGTAAAATTAGGTGAAATTGAGTGAAATTAAATGAAATTAAGTGAAATTAAGTGAAATTAAGTGCTTCCCCGATTGTGCCACACCCCCTCGGCCCCAGGGGGTGTGGTTGGGGCAAAATGAGATTTTTAGTGCAATTTATTCTATGGGTAAAATTAAGTGAAATTAAGTGAAATTAAGTGCTTCCCCGATTGTGCCGCACCCCTTCGGCGCCAGCGGGTGTGGTTGGGGCAAAATGAGATTTTTAGTGCAATTTAATCTATAGGTGAAATAGAGTAAAATTATGTGTTCCGGAGTTGTGCCACACCCCCTAGGCGCCAGGGGTGTGGTTGGGGCAAAATGAGATTTTTATAAAAAATTAATCTATAGATGAAATAGAGTGAAATTAAGTGTTCCCGAGTTGTTCCACACCCCCTCGTCGCCAGGGGGTGTGGTCGGGGCAAAATGAGATTTTTACAAAAAATTAATCTATAGGTGAAATAGAGTGAAATTAAGTGTTCCCGAGTTGTGGTGGGACCGTTTGGGGTGAAGTACGTCTGAAGCTACTTCCGTATGCGCGTTTGCGACGGTTTATTTTATTTTTTCTAAGTATACAAACGTTAACACAGGAGCAGATTGAGAGCTAACACAGCAAAAGTCCGACGAAAACTCAGTAATACTCATCGGCGTCTAAATAATCAGGGGGGGTCCTAGACCCTATGAAGTATATATATTCTGAATCCTCCCGCCAAGACCTTTCCAACGATACCCCACTTATGGGGTTACGTGAGACTTGGCCTATTGACCTTTTCAGCTAGTGCGCAAAACTTGTTGACCTTGAAAAAAATTAGAAATTTTTGGCGAATATGAAAATACGATCCATTCAGATCAATTTGTACCAAATATGAAGAAAATCTGTCCAGAATTGACGAAATGGGAGCTATTCCAAGAATAGTGATGAATGAGTCAACTTTGTAAGTTGACCTCCTGTCATTTTGAGGTCATCAAGTACGAATAGGACCTAGCGCTTCCGAACGACCCTAGAGCATATCCTGGGGATTATCCATGCGAAGTTTGACCGCTGTGGGCCTACTGGCTGCTTCACAATCGAGGGAGAAAGTTGGCAGGTTTTGTCAAAAAAGGTACTGCTTTCGCCCATGCCATTACACGTAGGGGGTCATGGAAATTTTAAAAACTGATCAAATCGGATAGTTCAATCATGGTGAACAGGTTTTTGAGCTCAAACGCCGAAAAATAAAATATGACGTTTTTTACCGCCGATAGCTCATGGAAATCGTCTATATCTCGTTACAGACACTCTTCCCATGATCCTGGGAACAATTTTCCTGCTTCCCGCCGTTTTCGGACAAACTTACCGCGTCGAACTTGAAATAGACCCGCCATGGGGGGCCTTCGAGGTCAGCTGTTTATCCTCCGGACACCCTGAAAGGTACGATGGAATATTCTCATCCAAGGATACATTAGCCTGGGAATTTACCGGGGTGTCATCCTGGTTCTGTGTCATCGAGTGGGACGACACAGCCTGCCTGTCGAATTATCTGATACCCGGGTTATGCCAAGGTATGACCGTATTTTCCTCAAATTTTGGCGGCTCCGCGCCCGTAGCGAACAACACCTGGTTGATCAATGGCTTTGGGGCGACCCGAATAAAGGAGAACGGCACTGAAGTTAACGACTACCGGTACCGGTGGGATGGTTCAATTCCCCCCGAATTTAATACCCCGCCAAATGATGCGTTTCACATTATTGTTGATGTTCGCCCCCCATCGGGCGAGGTGTACGTTCGCTGTCACGATTTTTATGATTCGATGTTTTATGAGAGAACCTTTACTTCAAATGGAACTTTGGAGTGGGATTTTGTCCGGGATTCGATCTTCACCCCGGTCTGGACTTGTTACGCCGTTTGGGATGAAGACAAGTGTGTCGCGGGATGGACGTACGGCCCGAATAATCCGGCGGATAAGACTTGCAGCGAGTTTCCGGTGTATGGACGGGTTTTTGATAGGCCGGGGTGGATCATTCCGAGAGCTAATAATACGTGGTTGATTGATGGAAGCGGGAAAGCTAGAATTTCGGAGGGGGAGGGAGTTCCGGTTCATGACTTTCCGGCAGAGTGGGATCTTGATGGTGAGGAAATATTTTAATTGATTTTGTACAGTTTTTCAAGTTTTTTGTGATTAGTTGTACTATGCGGAAACTGTTTTTAGTTAAGGGCAGGATTCAGTTTCTTTACAATTTGTCGATTCGACACTTTCTTGAAAATTTATGAAGACTTTACAGGCGAATTTCTTATCTAATGGCATGATTTAGTTTCTTCCCACTTTGTCGATTCAATATTTCTTAAATTTGCGAAATTTATTAACAGATGCATTCCTGATCCGACAAACAATCCAAGTCGAGATTGCCCCTGGGGACAGTGAAATCTACCTGGTATGCCATGGAACCTGGGGGGACGACGGAAGTAAGGACGCCGACTATCGAGAAACATTTACCACTTCACGAACATTCCAGTGGGACTTCCTCGAGAAGGATGAGCGTCGCAGGAATTGGGCTTGCAACGCGTTCAATGAGGTTGGCTGCTTGTCAAAATGGGTCACTTCTGAGGACGGGATGTCAACTTGCGCACCATTTCCGGTGTACGGAACTTATGGGGAGGAGACGGTTCAAATGGCGAATCACACGTGGTTAATCGATTCCTCGGGGAAGATTAGGACGGAAGAGTGGGGTGTACCTGTCAACGACTTAATCGAGAGTTGGGATCCTTTTCAATAATTTCATAACCTTAATTACAAGTTTAGAAGGCCTGGTCAGAATACGAAATAAATTTGATGAATAATTACGTAAAATTATATATAAATAATACTGTTCACTGTCTCCAGCCAGTAATCGAAAAAATCTGCGACTCATGTTGGATCCCGGGTTTTTATTATAATCATGAAGCACATTTTTACAAATATGCTCCATTCTGCAGAATATGTATGTAGGATTTGGGTAATTATATGTAGCTCCCTGCAAAATGTGTGCATGAGGGCTATCGCATTTCTGCTTCGGAAATCCTAGACCTCATAAATACTTGCAAAATTAATAGTCGTGAATATGATGCCATAATAACGTACCACGTCTCGCGTTTCCGTTGATACTTTATTGCTTTATTCCGTTGATACAAATTTTACTCACAAATCACACCTTAGAAAGCATCCCCCCACCATCCCTCCCCCTTTGACGTCCTGCACTGATCAACAGCAAATTCAGCGTTTGATTCATGCAGAAATCCTGAATTACTAACGGAGTCCCATTATCGATGAAGTTCGAGCCAAATTTGATCTTAAGAACGCTACAAGCCTTTATTTCCCTCGTTACGAGGGATCGCTTTCCCCCAAATTGGACGCCCTGTCGGACATGCAGCTTAAGGACCTTAGCCGACGCCGCGTTAACCCATTCACAAGCAGCGCGTCGACCATGATTAGGGGGAAGATGAGAAAGCCAGGCATCGCTATTTTGGCGTGCAGTTTGATACAGACGTACATCGAGACGATTTGCAAGACTGGAATCAAACCGATCAATGTTGGGACTATTCGCGTCATCAGGTAGCCGTTCATGTACTTTTCCAGGATTTGGATGCTCCTGTAAAGCTTGAGGCAGGCTTGAATCTCCGGGATCGTTCGTGCCCTTAAGATCCGTCTGGAAATGTTTTAAGTTTAAATGTAAATACACTCAATGATTTGTAAATTCGATTGTTACCGGCGAAGGTAACTGCAATTCTACTACTTCAATCCATGAATTTATCACTGAATTATGTACAACATATAGGGTGGTTTACATGTCAGGTTACCATGGAAAATTTTCCAATGGGAAAAATTCGTAAATTTCCATTAGTTACGGATTTGGGATTGAGATTTTTATTAATTTTTATCAAAACTTATGGAATACTGATGACAAAATTTTTAAAATATTAAATTTCAGAGGCAAAATTTCGATAACTAAGGGAGATTTGCGAATGTTCTCCATTGGCAAATTTTCCATTGTAACCTGACATTTAAACCACCCTGTATGTAAGTGCAGGCAGAGACTAAATCCTGCTCATTCCCTAATGCCTGACATTGGGGAGCGATGACATCGCTCTTATAATAATAACCTCACAGATTCTGAAGGCTTTTTGCTTACAATTTGTTACCGTATTGATTACCACGCGGTAGAAATACTACTGTAGAATTGCACACGTGGTAGAAAAGCAATCTTAACGTGAGCGCATATCCTTTTAAAACGTGTTGCATTATTTTTAAGAGTGTGTTAAATTCGCATCAAATTTTCTAAAACATTTTGATACCCTTTCAATAGCTGAAAGTAATTCAAGATTCCCACAATTCCGGCAAACAGGATGTAAAACGCCCAAGGCGTTCCGGAGCAGAACATTTGCAAATTCATCCATGCATCCACCAGGATAACGAGCATTTTTAGATCCATCTTCCTCCAGCCAATGTCCCCGCATCGGTCCGACATGGAGAGGAGGAAGGGGGGCGTGCATGGATCCATAGAAAGCAACACGACCACCGCGAATGGCACCGCGATCACCGTGAATTCCGCCACGGTGATGAAAAAACTCATCAACTTAACTTCGAAGGACACTTTGATTACGTCCCCGTCTGAAAATATAGTTTTAAAGAAATTTAAAAAAAGGTTCAGAAATTTTGAAAAAAATAGACACCACGTTCTTGCCAGTTGTTAAAATATGTATCAAAATTGGGTGCCTCATCTTGCATTTTTTTACACTCTCATAAAAATAGTTCTGCCGTTTTGGAACATTTTGAATTCTATATTAAACAAGCCATGTACATACATATATACTAAGGAGGAGAGACCCTCTACATGCCCCTCTCAGATCTCGATGCCATTAGGATATTTGATAGTCCTAGATGAATGTAATATAACCCTAGAGTGGTTTGACGTCATGGCCACATTTGCGCCTGCCACACCCCCTCAAAGGTGTAAAAAACACGAAAAAATCCCAGTTTTCATGTACTTCAACTGTCACCAAAAAGCCAATTTTGCTCGGATTTTCATAAAATTTACATTTTTGTGATCCCATATACTTGTGTGATCATATCCAGCAGCAATCTCAACTTTTTTGAAATTTTGAAAATTTTCGAATAATTCGAAATTAATTGTTAATAATTAATTAACTGAAACATTGGAATGTCCTAAAATTTCGGAAATTTCAAAAAGGTTGAGATTGCTACTGGATATGATCACACCAGTATCTGGGATCACAAAAATGTAAATTTTATGAAAATCCGAGCAAAATAGGATTTTTGGCGGATTATTGAAGTTGACAGTTGTTGTGGTTTTCATGCCTTTGAGGGGGTGTGGCGGGCGCAAATGTGGCCATGGCATCAAACCACTCTAGGGTTATCCTTTACTCACCTAGGGGTACTACATATGCAAAAGGCATCGAGATCTGAGAGGGGCATGTAGAGGGTCTCTCCTCCTAAGTCCGGAGTAAATAGTAACGTTTACTCTGGATTAAGTACAGTTTACATGACATACGTAAAGTTCAGAGTATTTAAATAATTCATAACTGTGCACAATCATTTAATAATTAAGGTCACGAATAATAGGTAATAATAATTTTTTTCAATGTTTTTTGGTTTCAATTTTTACATTGAATGAGTCTTGAACAAAGATTTTTTTTGCATACATACACTCTAAGAAATTTTACCACCGGACTGTCACCGAGCGGTGACTATATATGACTCTACCTCAATGGTGGTAACCTACCACCACGCGGTGATAAAAAGTGTCATCACCATCGTGGTGATAGACCTACCGGACGGTGGCGGAATGATAAATATTTTCTATCACCGTTCGGTGATATATCACCACCATATTTAGCTCGCCATGTCACGGTCTGGTGATATATAGAGGGTGTTCCGGATGTAATGCAACTTTGGTCAAATGCATATATCATCGTGATATCAATGTGCCCCAAATTCGAAATGGCGGGATTATTGTAGTACAGGCATCCATCAAGTCGAATCCGAAAACCAGAAGTCGGTATCTCCAACCGTTCCAAAATGAGGTCAAAAACCAGCGAGCAACTAGGAAGGGACGTCTGCCACTACTACGAAAATGTGGTATCGCGCTCCAAGAAATTGACCTACAGTCACTTCATAGATCAACAAATTCCAAAATCGACAATTTGTCGTATACTACAGAGGTATGAGCAGAGGGGAACTGCTGATTACAAAAAAAAATCTGGCCGTTCAGTCCGTGTGGCTACCCCCAAAGCGATAAAAGCCGTTGACAAGGAGTACAAAAAGGATCCTGGAATGTCGGTGCGAAATTTAGGTCACAAATTGAAGTTATCGCCTACTACCGTACATAATATTAAAGTTAAGAAGTTGGGCATCAAATCTTATAAGGCTATATCAGCTCCTAAATACACCGAAGAGCAAAAGAAAAGGTCAAAGACCAACTGCCGGAAGATTGCAGAGAAACGACTCGACCCGAAGTTATCCAAGATTCTTGTCATGGATGACGAGACTTACTGCCCAATTGATCCAAATGACGTTCCTGGCACCAAGTACTACTCTTCAACTGACAAAAAAACCGTACCAGAAAAATATAAGTATAAATCTAAGTCAAAATTTCCTAAGGGGTACCTAGTATGGCAAGCGATTGACTCTTTGGGAAACGTTTCAAAACCTTATGTGACCACCGCCACAATGAACACGGAGAGGTATTTGAATGAGTGCATAAAGAAGAGGTTGGTCCCCTTCATTAAAAACAGGGATGTTCTTTTCTGGCCGGACATGGCAAGTTGTCATTACTCTCGTCCAGTTGTGGAGTACTTTGCGTCGAAAAATATCGATTTTGTGGAAAAAAAAAATAATGCACCAAACGTACCCCAGGCAAGACCTATTGAAAAATTTTGGGCTTTATGTAAGAAGGAATATCGTAAACGAAAAACTCCAGCCAAAAATTTGAACTCATTTCGCCAGATTTGGTCAAGAATCTCAAAAAAGGTAGCCCAGAACAGTGGCCGAGCACTAATGGGTGGCGTCCGACAAAAAATTCTCCAGATTGGACGGAAGGGGGTGTATGGACCATTCGAAGCAAAAAATAATTAGTTTCAACCTTTGTCTTTTGTTGACCAAAATTTTGTTGAAATAAATTTATTAACTTATGGTATATACGCATTTGACCAAAGTTGCATTACATCCGGAACACCCTCTAGATAAAAATAATTTCGTTTCTTCAAATGACAAAAATGTCACATTTTTCACAATTTATTGCTTTATTCAAATCATTTAGCAGGTAATTAATATTATATATATGTATATATGTAAAACCTGTTCCTCGCCATTTGTGGAATTGCACCAACAATTGAATTTGCGAATAGTTCATAGTTCCCAGATGTAGGACACTAATTAAAGTTTGAAATTAGTTAATCTTGATTTATATTGGTCCCAAATTATAGTTTATTAAGTACTTTACCTTATAGGTGGAAAACTATGGCACCATTTCTTTATTTGCACAGATGACGTTGTACTAATCAACAATTTTTTTCGAAGTACAACGGGTGACCATGACCATATTCATCAGTTATTGACTCGGATCGATTATAGTTGGCGCACCAATTAAGTAGGAAAAAATATAATAATTACTTATGAGCAACTGTAAAAAATAAGCAACTAAATTTAATGCAAACATTACCTCGTCGATCTCTGCTCCTTCTTTGTCATCCAGGCGAATCTCGGCATCCACATCCAAATTTTTCTTCAACTAGAAATTCAATCAAATTAACTTGGGCAAAATTAGCTAAATTTGAACTTTTCAATTTTTACCTTTGTCAATAAATTAGTCATAACTATTTGCGCACGGTATTAATTGTTTTCCTCTTCAACTTTGAAACACGAAGTAATTTTACATTGCAACTCCGCTGCTTGTCGTTTGGTTGTTTCTGGTGCATGGAGTAGGACGAACTCGCCACTCTGTAAGTCACGTGTATTGCGAAGCTACCACCATGGTGCGATGGTAGTGGCTATCACCACTAGTGGTGATAAGTATCGGTGATAGGTTTATCACCATTACGGTGACGCTTGCTATTTCCACTCGCGCGGTGATAGTGCCTATCACCCAATTTCTTAGAGTGTATGTATTTATTTATGTGTGAAAGCATTTACTTTGCAATAAATTAACATTATTTTTAAGAGTGTGTAGCATCCCAGAGGCCCTACGAAATTGTTATGCATACCTTTCGAAACACCTTCTTCAAAGGTGACGATCGAGTTGATGAGCTGCATTGGGCCAATATCCAGCACCACATTCCATCCGGAGGAGATCAAAACGGCGAAACATACCAGGAACGGGAATCCCTGTAACCGTTTCAACATTGTGACCTTCCCGAAACAAAAGTGGGCGAGAAGTACGAGAGCGTACAGGATTGTGAGAGTAAATTGCAAGTGGGACAACCCCCTCCGATTTGGCGACTTGATCACGGCCACTTTCCCTGACTTGGAATCAAACTCAAACGGGAGGCAACATATCGGCCGAGAAAGTTTGAAATGACGAAGTAACAAAGGGAGAAACTGGGTGGAGTACATGGCAATGAAAAATTGATGCAAAAATTTTTGCAAGGATTTGCCAACCAACTGGAGCGCAAAACCTTGCTTTTTATTGTTTTCGCAATTTGCATAAATAGGGTCTGGGTTACAACTCCTGTTTTTATCTGCTTTGAATTTGCGGACGTGCAAATATATAATCTTGTTTTTTGTTTTCGCAATTTTGCACAAATAGGGTTCAATATATATAAGGAAGAATAACATCGAGAGCAGTTCGTCTTAATTAATGCACTCTTAGAAATCTGGTATAGTGAGGAAGGTATTTATTTCCCGGTATTAATCTTGCTCCGGTTTGGTATTAGAATTGTGTTTATACTCTCCTTATAAATTTGCTAAAATTTGAACACCTAGGCAGCTACATATTACTACACCGTATTCCTTATCAGTACCACTTTGTTACATAGCTGTATTAATATGTGAATACCGTTTGGTATTATTTTAACACTAGATTTCTTAGAGTGAACCACCACACAAATTTAATATCATATCAACGCCGCCAAGAAATTCCGGCAAATGATAATGTATGTATTTGCTGACTAAGTTCCGAACAAACAAGTTATTTTTCGCAAGAATATTTCCTTATCAAGGAATTACATATAATCTGTTTACCAGGATGGATACGTAATTAATTAAGTCCACCAGCCTTTAATTTATGCAAGATCGGGTTGCAATCATTTGCTGGGGAAAACTTGAGGTAATCAAAGACTAACTTAATTAAGCAAGTTGGGAATGGAAAACTTTGAGAAAAACAATGTATGTACAGGTACACTCTTAAAAATAATGTTAGTTATCTTAGTTACATAATTTAGAATTCAGAGTGCATTTACATTTCAAAAGGGTAACATTACATATTTGCAAGAGTTTACTTTATCCTTTTTTTAAATATCTATGTAGTGATGTCCATATTATAAAATATCACCCTCATTTAATGTATGTAAATTTTCTGGTTTAACTTGGACATAAAATATTAAAGAATTTCAGAGTATTAAATATGACAAACTTTGTGTAAAATGATGCAATTTTAATAAATTTCAAAATAAACAATGAGTCATATAAATAATGCATATTACCCCGTGACAGGGTTTAATTTAATTTTTGACTGTGTAAATAAATCTCCAATTTGTTCAAAATACATAAATTTCTTTAAACAATCTTGATTTCCGAGCAACTTCTGAAAGTCTGTTGTTCGGAGCAGCCCATGCCTCCTGGTGGATCGCCACTGTTCGGGTTGCATACACACGTCCTAGAATTGTCACAGGTTCCCCAGGCCTGCGCGCCACGGTAATGGGCTCTCAAAGTGCATTTTTCACAGGTCACGCCGGCCGGCAAGGTCACTGTGGTTTCGATATTCATCGTTCCCTCGGCCAAGTTAAGGGGCCAGTAGGTATCACCATTTCCCATGACGAGCTTCTGGAAACAGTCCTCCGTTTCGAATTGTGCCGCGCACAGGTGAACTTCCATCCCGCCGCCGTGGTTTTGAGTATTGGAGTGCAGGTGGATGGGAATTGTCTGGACGAAATAATACAAAATTATTGCAAATTTTGAACTTAAAACTTCCCATTAATTTCTATTGTACCACTCAAAAAATGTTTCTGCATTCATAACTCATCAAACTCAAAAAATTGTTAACAAATATTATTCATTCATTTTCATTTATCTAAAATTGGAAAATAAATACGTGTTAATTATTCATTTTTTATTTATTTTATCAATGCACCTAATGTGCTAGCGTGAAACATTAAAAATGAATAACATTATTCATTCATTCTTCATCAATATGAAATGAATAAATATTTATTCAACATTCATTCATTCAACAATTTTGAAAAAATTATTCACTCATTATTCATGAATATATTCATGATCTATTAAAACATGAATTTGAACAGCTCTGACTCAACTACTAAAAATGCCCTTAATTTTTTTCTGAATTTTTAAATCCTTACCGCTCCCGCTGCATACGTCCTAACTTGCAAATCGCGCCAGTATCGTCCACCACGTTCCGTTTCACGAGGCATGGGTTGATTCACGTCATCCCCGCAGATTCCGCACCGCCCAGCGACATCTTCCAAGAGACGTTCATTCCCGCACCAAAACTCGTCATCATTTCCACGTGGTTCCGGATTGTATGAAGCGTACTCCGGGAAGCGCCAAATACAAGCGCGACAGGGCGGCTCGAGAAATCTCATGTGACCCTGGGCCACAGCCAGGGTCGCCAAAACTAACAGTACGACTCGCATGATTGAAAAATAAGGTGATAAATTAACCTTCCCCTTCAAACTAAACAAGTTAATAAAGCTTGCTCCCCTTTTATTCAAGTTCAAGGATGATTAACAACTTTATCGCAAATTCCATCCACTCAAAATGAGTGACATTTAGCTAATTACTTTGTCATATCTTGATTGATGCCATTACTTCAGAGGGAGAGGATTGCTCATGCCATTCAAAAATAACCAAGACCGGGAATCATGTGCCATTCCTGGACACGCCCGAAGCTCGTGTTAGCTTGGTGTGATGTTTATGTTGTTATAAGCCAAGGTATTTTCGAGGCATGAAGTTAACAATTAATGAGAGTGAGATTAGTTTTGCAGACGGATGATCAGCCACGGCCTTTTGTGCTGCGCAATTTTTTGATGATCACAAACACTTATCTGACAACCAAAGTGATTAATTGGCATTTGGTAATTAAACGTATTTATGGGGACACAATAGTTTAAATACGTTGGTTTGTGCATACAATGTGTCTCAAAGCATACAGTTGCAAAATATGGTTTTATCAATCTTGAGCATTCATAAGCGGTTTATTCGCAGATCTTGGTAGCTAATCAAATGCATAAATAGATACATACGTGAAAGTATGTACCGTAAATACTCTATTTATAGCCGGGTCTAATGACAAAAAAATCCGGCTATAATTTCAACCCGGGTATAATTGGAGACCCGGCTAAATTTTTTTCCGCTTATGCATAACTTGAAGCATCTAAGAACAGGCATTAAACAAACGCCATAATCATGGATGAGCTTACTAAATTTTTCAAACTTGGGCTCAAGACCCGGCTATAAAAAGAGTATTTACGGTATGTATATAAGTACATATTACTGAATTTGTCGCATATTTATTGTATGTGCATGCATAAGCAAATACATTCATATCTGTCTCATCTTAATACATATAAGATGATACGTATACATATATGTACATACATCCATTGGTGACGGCAATACTCGACATTTTCTAAATATGTGTATAAGTTCGACAGTATCATTATTATCTACTTAGGATTAGTTCCACCAGCCGCATGAGACTAAAATATCTGCAATACCACTCTAATTTGAAACACAAAGTATTTATAAAGAAAATTGAATTTGAACTGAATTTAAAGATTCCACAAAATTCCACAGTTCAACAAAAATCTACAATTAGTATCTCACCGTGCCCCGAAAAGTGTCACTCAATTAAATATGAGCCCGAATAAGTTCCTAACTGTGAACTGGGTTTGGGAAATCCATGGTGTTAATAAAAAATAGCGACTAATGGATTGTGAAGAGTTTATTTATGTATGTATTAAGGTGTACTTCACTACACAAAAATTTTGAGCAAAAATGTACATATTTACGAAATGAACAGATTATTTATCTGCAGTGAAAGAACTTCGGATAAGGTCTGATATATGTGTTCCACATTTTAGATTAGGGCAAGACCCAATAAAACCCATCTAAACATATTAAAACCCATTGAAACCCAATAAAATTCATGAAACCTATTAAAGCGAAATAAAACATATTGAAACCCAAATAAAACCCACCTATTAATAACATGACAAACCCCAGTTGGTTTTATTAATTTTCAACCCATTAAAACACAAAAAAGCAATTAAACCCTTATTAGTCGGAATACTGAACTACGTATTTCTAAGGAAATCTACGCCTATTTACCAATTGAAGAGCAGCGCACTAATCGTATTGTCCACGATAACCTTTTGATACATCCCCTTCGTCGCCCTTGAAATATTAATAAAAACATACTCTCCCAACCCAAATTTAAAATAGCACACGGGCAAGGATCGTAACACCTTTTCAAACCTCTTCTTCTTCCAACCATCCAAATTCGATCCCGCCCTTAACCTCCATTTTCTAATAAGCTCCTCCGAAATGGTAGTAAAATCCCCACAATCCGGCAAAATATGGTACGGAAGCCATAACGCACCGACCAAAAAGCCGGGAATGATGACATATAAAACCACAGCCGGGAGCAATTGGTGCATCCGAACGGCGAGGAAATTGGCAATAATAACCGACACAGAAATAATGAACGTCATCAAGGTTGAGAGCGTGGTTAAGGGGCAGTGGAAAACCTTAAGCTGTACCAAAACTTCTCGATAGGTGGCGATCGCGTCGCGCAATTTTGTATGCCTGGGTAACATGTGAACCTGTTCAAAAACAAAAAAATCATTCAAAAATCAGTCATTCCGAATTTTGACTGAAGATTTTCCATTCACAGTAATTCATCTGAAATGACGAAAAATCCATTCAGAAATTTCGGAATCTTTTAGCTATTTTCATTGAAATGATGCGAAATTCATATTCCTTCATAAAATGAATGAATGTGAACAGGTGAGGTTGCCAAAGATCGAATTACCCGGTATGGTTCCTCGATAAGGTAAAAGTAGCGCAGCCAGATTTTGCACGCTATGACGAACATAATTCCTATGTAAATAAAAACCCTAGCGACATCTAGCATCATTAAGATGCAAAGGGGTACGCGGAACGTTGCGCCGATCCATACGTGTAGGCTGACTTGGGCCGTGTAATAAGGAGATAGTTGAGTCAAGATGTGATGGAAAGGGTCGATATTGAGTACGACTGCCATCGGAGTGAATAGAAAAATGGCAAGGGTGACGAAAATGTCGGCGAGCTTGAAGATCAATATTATGGAGCTGTAACTACCCGGTTTTTGAGGGTACGGGGCATATCCTGGAAATAAAAAAATAACCGTAATTCGTGCCGCTAGAGGGGTCGGCGTTAAAGAGACATTAATAGCTCGCATTAACGTTTTCAGAAACCCGATTCGATCCGAATTTGAAAAATATCGGATCTTTGTTTTCGGTTTGATAAAATATCCGATTGGATCGGATCCGTTTTATGGAATTAAAACAATAATCGATCCATCTTTCGATCTGTCTTTTGGAATAATAAGTATTCCATCAGATCCGTTCTTTTATTTAAAAAAATATTGGGATCCACCGGTCACAGATTATACAAAAAACGAATACTCGACTTTGGGTGTCAACCTCTCCTGGAAATTGCATGCTATCTACACACTCACTTCTTTCCAATCGTTCCAAAAGCCAGACGAATTGCCCAAATGCGAACTTCCAATCGTCCCAGTAAATCCAAAATATGTAGGCGATCACACCCTGGACGGCACTTAATAACACAATAATTACTTGAAACATAACCTGCGACGATGACAGTGTCGACTTTTCCGGCCACCAAAATTCAGATATTAGTAGGTAACCGCAGAGCACTTGTAACAAGCATATTTCACACCCAATCGCAATAACTGTCCAGATTGGCGTTGCACGGCGGGACGGAGTGAAAACTACCCGTCTTTTTTCAGGGTCCCATTCAATCGGTGATTTAAAAACTAGAGAAAATACGGTGGAGTGAAAATCCAAGGCGGAAAAGGGTGGTACATATGCCATTTTGCATTTAAAATCGTTCCTGTTCGCTTTCATTTATTTGTCTGATCATGGTACAGGTGTATTTCCTCTCATTTGAATGAAAATCACGTGCAATGATGCCTTCATTTTAAATGAATGCGCGTGAATGAAAAGAAAGGATCATCACCCCGCTGATTTTTAACCAATCGCTTAAATCGTGGTGTGAAGTAAGAAATAAAATGAAGTGAGATGAAGGGGATGAATTTGAATGAAGACCTTCAGAAAGAAAGTGACTTTAAAATCAAGTAAATTTTGTTGAACAGATACATATGTATGCACCCTTGATTGTTCTCTTGTCAAATAATTCAACAACTGAACAGTTTGTTGAATAATTCAACAGTTTGTTCTCCAAATAAATACATATGTGAAAGTCTCTGTCTGCCTGAACAGAATATCTGTCTCTAGATCTGTCGAGTTTGAGCAAAATTTTATTACTGTAATTATTTGGACTGTATTTATTTACTGAAACAATAGAATTGAAGCCAATCAAGCTTGCTTTCTTTTTCCGAACTTTTAGTACTGCAAACTTTACTAATTGGGTCTATGATTTATAAATACACATGTATGTATGTACATTAGGTCATCAGTTTGTGTATATATTGATCTGTATTATGTAATACACACTTCTAGACAATTTACTCATTTTCTACAAAAATTAGGTACACTAATAAAAATATGTACACACACGCTTGATTTTTTAAACTACATACTTTTTATTCAACTGCGACGCTTTCATACCTCTAATTGCACCACAATTAACAACTATTTCGTCCCGTGTTACATAATTTTAGTTATAGTATTCCAAGCATATGTAAGACTACCCTAACAATCGAATTTTCTAATCTAATGTTACCATTACGAAAAACAAATGATTGTATTACGTAAACTATATTACATCTAGTATAAACTTTACTTTTTCCCACGGCAACATTACTTTAGATTTAGTATAGTTTACCAAACACAGAATTTGGACTGCATTTAGATAATTAAGGGTAGCATTATTTTGAAGAATATAAACTCCATTGAAGGTACATACATAAGTATTGATATTAACGTTGCTACTGCTTGGTATTACAATTATACCGGTCCATGCAAATTAACTGCAAGCACAGTAAAACTTTTATACCGAGCTAGTCAGTGCCGTATTACTTATCAAGTCTACATAAATACTTTGATAGAGCAATCAATGAATACCTCCTTGAATGATTTTAATACATGAATTCTAACAATGCAAGTCTTTTACGTGTACAACTCAGATCTGGTTGGGACCAATTTTATTTTGTTCACCACAAAAAATAACCATACCCGTAGTTTTTCATTTTTCATAATGCGCTAATTTGAGCGCGGGGCGCGAATTTTAAAACATTTTTCAGCCAAAACCTCGGTTTTTAAAAATTCTGTAAATTTTCGAATTTCAGTCCGAATCCAAAAATTCGAAACCATGTCTCTTCAGAATGACTTACCTGACTTATGAAAAACCCAATTGTCTCAAAATTTGATTTTCAAAATTTTTTGCCAGTTTTTGAAATTCATTAAAATTATAAACTCCTTCAAATTTTTAATTTTTCAAAAAATAATGCGTTTGGATTTTTCATAAGTCAAGTAAGTCATTGTGAAGATACATGTTCTCGAATTTTTGGATTTGGGCTGAAATTCGAAAATTTACAGAATTTTTAAAAACCGAGGTTTTGGCTGAAAAATGTTTTAAAATTCGCGCTCCGCGCTCAAATTAGCGCATTATGAAAAATGAAAAAATACGGGTATCCTTATTTTTTGTGGTGAACAAAATAAAATTGGTCCCAACCAGATCTGAGTTGTACACGTAAAAGACTTGCATTGTAAGAGTGCACCAGACGTGGCTGGTAAATATTTAAATGAATGCTATAATTGTGTCGGGTTATTTTCGTAATTATTAGTTCCTGTATCCCTAGGTAATTTCCGCGACAAAAAAATGATCCAAAAACTAATATACTTCGTACATACTTACATACATACCAAAATATCAAACTAAGTAATCCTTTTCCTTCCATTATTCTACGGTTCTGACTTTTCAGACTTTTTAAATCAACCGTGGTGAAAATAGCACTCACCAAAATTAACGTCAATTACAAAGTTAGCATCTTTTTATTGATCATGACCAAATTGGTGTATTCGAACTAATTCGCAGAGCCTAAGTATGTGTGTAGGTGGATGATAATCAAAAATCATTAAAAAACTGACAATTTACATACGTAGGATTCAAACATTTTTAATTACACAGTATGATATACATATGTACATATACCTGCATTTTGTGTATGTATGAATTTGCATATTTGTAACTTTTGTGCAAAGTGAGCCCTGGATTTATTGATTTTCCATTAAAATATTGTGAATGTTTGTTATCTGTAGAAATACGCATTTTAGGGCAAAAAGCAACCAATTCTTTATCCAAAATTTGATGACTGTAATTAAGAGAATCTGAGCAACTTCAATAAATAGAAATTCAATAGTAAGACGCTATTTTCTCTACAAAACTGATTGTTCTTATCGATCATCTTGGTCTTAAAAACTTAGAAGGGCTTTCATGCCGGGTAGGGTGATCGTGCTTTCTACATTTGTGGTGACTCTGATGAGACTTAAGAGTCGATAAGTGAACTTATCAGTGAGTGTGTGAATTGCGGATCCTGCCATCTCTGTCCAGATTCAAGTCGTGGCGCAGTTGTGGAGGATTAGTGGTCAGATAGTTGCAGCCGTGAATCCCGTCGAGGACCGTAAAGCCGGAGGTCGAGTGGGAGGTGCATTTTTCTAGATCCTGAGCAATTCCAGTCATCATCGTCGTTGGAATCTGTACAAGTGGTTTGCTGTAGCCCGAAATACAGTTTCGTGAGGTCTATCTGCCCAATTTGTGAGAAGTTGGGAATTTTGCTAATTGTCTTTTCTCTTTTGCGTTTATTTATCTTGAGATTTCGTCACAATGGATCTGGAAAGATACAAGTTATTCCGTGAGGCTGCTGGGAAGCTGGTAGATGAGAGAATAACTCTCATTACTGCGGAGCTGGCGAAGGAGGCGCCTGATAAGGACTTAATTGAAGTGGAATACAGGACGTTCGAAGACACTTACCGGGAATATTGCGACGTGGCGTACAAGGTGTTGGACGAATGTGCTGCAGAAGAGGTGCTGGTCGAGAGGAGGGCGTTGGACGTCGTCGTGCGACGGTACATGGAGCTCAGTCACAAGATCGAGATGTTCAGAATCGCACTTTATCCAGACGCAAGTCCACCCGGAAGTCACTATTCAACAGCAACAGGCGGCTCAAGTAATTCGAACAAGAGAAGAACTTTTAAACTCCCAAAACTCGAGATGAAGAAGTTTAATGGGGAGTTAACGGAGTGGCTCGGTTGGTGGTCACAGTTTCGCAAGATTCATGAGGATGAATCCACGCCACCGACAAGTTTGAATATCTGCTGCAAGCGATGGTGGTCGGGTCAAGGGCACGTGATCTCGTCGAGTCGTATCCCATGACGGAAGGCAATTATCCGAAAGTGATCTCAGCGTTGGAGGAGAGATTTGGGAAGCCAAAACTCCTAAAACAGGTTTACGTGAGAGAGTTGTTGACTATTATCATACATAATACAAGGTCTAATGAGGTCAACCTCGCAAAAATGTATGATTCTTTGGAGTCTCACCTCAGAGCGTTGGAGACACTTGGCGTGACCCCAGAGCAGACTGCAGAATTTGTATTTCCTATGGTGGAGTCGAGTTTGCCAGAGGATATCCTCATCGCCTGGCAGAGGAGTGCAATGTATGGTGTGGATGGATCCACAGAGAACCCACCCAGTACAGAGCTCCAACATCTGATGACCTTTCTGCGCCAAGAAGTAGAGCGAGAGGGTCAGCGGTCTATTGTTCGAGCAGGATTCGAGTCCAATCCCGCAAATAAAGAGAAGTCCCGAGAGAAGTCCAGAGCGGCATCCAGGAAAGAGAAGGATGGATTCGCCACAACTGCTGGTTTGTTCTCTGGTGGGAATGCTAAAAAATGTTGTGTTTTTTGTGATCGTAGTAACCACAACAGTCCAGATTGTTACAAGGCGCAAATGATGACTCTGCAACAAAAGAAGGACAAGGTCAAGGAGAAAAAATGTTGTTTCGTCTGTCTCCGCCAAGGCCACTTGTCAAAGGATTGCAAGAGTTCAGCAAAATGCGTAATTTGCTCACGCAAGCATCTGGTAATCATGTGTCCAGACTTGGAGAAGAGGAATGATTCAGGGGGATCTGGCAATCGTAACGATGGCGAGAATTCGGCCGCGATGTCACATCATCAATGTAAAGGTGACGTCCTGCTCCAAACTGTGCTCGTGCGTCTCTACAACGACGACGGTAGCGATTATCGAGTAGTCCGGCTACTATTCGACAGTGGGAGTCAAGGAACAAGCGTGCGGGCCGACGTTGCAGACGAGCTGAATTTGCAAAAGACTGGACAAGTATGGTCACGCAAGGTCTTGTATGGAGGGTCTGTAACAAATAAGCAAAAACACAATAAATTTAACATAAAATTAGCCAGCGTTGATGGCAAAGTGAGGCGTAATTTGACTGCACTTGATGAGCAGGATATTTGTGGCCAGCTACGTCGTGTCCCAACTGGTCCGTGGTTGAAGGAGCTAGCAAACAAAAATATATGGATGAGCGACTTCATCTCGGACAGCGAGGAGATTCAAGTCCTCGTGGGGAGCGATTATTATGGACAATTGATGACTGGCAGAATTGTGCATCTCAAGTGTGGACTCACAGCAATGGAATCCGTCTGCGGCTGGACCCTGAGTGGCTCAATTCCGGCGGAGGATTCACTTTCTTTGATGTCAGTGTCGACGGCATTAGTCAACTGCAACTCCATCCAAGATTTGTGGAATTTGGAGGCATTGGGGATCCGTGACTCTGGAGAAGTCAAGAGCAAGTCGGAACGAGAGGTAGCGACTCAAGAACACTTTCAAGAGACCGTGACTCGTAACGATGAGGGGCGTTACTCCGTTCTACTACCGTGGGTGGAAGAAGGTCAACCCATCCCAAGTAATCGACTGGTGGCTGAGAAGAGGTTGGAATCCACCACCAGAAAACTGAAACAAACAGGAAACTTTGAGTCGTACATCCAAATATTTCAAGAGTGGCTCAAAGAAGGATTCATAGAAATTGTCCAGAATCCAAATCAAGATGAAAATTCCCATGACCTCCCACACCGAGCTGTATTCAAACCGGAAAGTCTGACGACGCCTGTGCGACCGGTTTTCGACGCATCCTGCAAGATTGGAAGGAGCCCATCATTAAATGATTGTTTAGAAAAGGGTCCCAATTTGTTGGAGCTGATTCCGGCGCTACTGGTCAGATTCCGGGAGAAGAAGGTGGGCGTAATTTCTGACGTCCGTAAAGCCTTCCAGATGATCGAGGTGGAGGAGTCCGACAGAGATTTCCTCCGATTTCTATGGTGGGAGGAAAATGAAGATAGCAAGATCCAAGTTTTTCGCCACAAACGAGTCGTATTTGGGGTCAATTCAAGTCCGTTCCTGCTAGGCGCCGTCCTGGAGAAACATTTAAAAGAAGTAAGTGGACCCCATGAATCAATTGCGAAGAAACTACTTAAATCGTTGTATGTGGACAACTGCGTCACATCCGTAAATTCAGAAGAGGAATATCAAAATTTCAAGCAAATTTCTACTCACCTTCTTGCCGATGCTAAGATGGAACTGCGTCAGTGGGAGTGTAGTGCCGTGGAGGGATCCGGAGTCGGCTACCCTGCCATTAGGGAGTGCGGACTGGAGCCTGACGGTAGCTACACCCATCAAGAACTGAGCAGTGTCCTGGGGATGAAGTGGCAAAAGGTGGAGGACAAGTTACAAGTGGATATTCCTTATGAACAACTCCCAGAGAAGATAACCAAGAGAGTAATCCTGTCAATGGTGCAAAAACTATTCGATCCATTGGGATTTCTGGCACCAACAACGTTGATCCCAAAATTAATTCTCCAACAGACATGGGAAAAGAAGAGCTCTTGGGATGATGAGTTATCTGCAGAGATGAAGAAAGAATTTATTTCGTGGTGGTCAACAGTACAAGAATTGAAGAAAGTTCACATACCCCGACATGCATTTGGAATTGCAGTCGTCCAACCAGAAGAGATCCAGTTCCACTGTTTTGGAGACGCGCCCAAGAAGGCCTATTCCGCAGCAATCTTCGTCCGTGTGCAGCATGGCGACGAGATTTCGGTGCAATTGCTGCAAGCAAAGTCAAGAGTAGCACCGTTAAAATCATTAACAATTCCTAGACTGGAGCTGATGGCGAGTGTTATAACAACACGACTCGCATCTTCTGTCAAGAGTGCCTTATCGATGGAGGCAGCCACAACTTACTTTTGGACGGACTCCAGCACCGCGTTGGCGTGGATTAGACGCAACAACGAGTGGGGGACCTTTGTTGGAAATAGAGTGAAGGAGATATGTTCCAGCTCACTAGTTTCGCAGTGGAACTTTGTGCCAGGAAAGATGAACCCGGCCGACCTTCCATCGAGAGGCTGCTCCCCATCTCAATTATTGTCGTGTTGTTGGTGGGAGGGTCCTGACTGGCTGCGGAAGTCGGCGGAGCACTGGCCAACACATTTTGAACCTGAAGCCGATGAAGATCTGGTCACATCGGAGAAAAAGAAATCAACAATTGCGAGGATGGAGGCGGTCGAGGTGGAAAATCCATGGTACGTGACGCGCTACTCCTCCTATACAAAGAATTTGCGACTTTTGGGATGGATTTTGAGATTCCTGCAAAAGTGCAAAAAGATTAGTCCAAGTCAGACCGACAGCAACATCGTAATTATTAAATCGGGTTAGTCTGATGAATATCAATTGCGAAATCAGCACAAAGTACAAGAACTTACCAAGGAGGAATTGGCAGCAGCTGAGAGAAAGTTGTTTTCACTCGTGCAGAGTGAATCGTTCAAAGTCGGGCAGGAAGTCATCTCCGGAATCCGAGTGGAGCGAGACGACGATGGATTGATTCGTGTTCGCTCAAAATTATTACACCGGGATGACACAGCTTATTTCCGTCGCCCTATTCTGCTACCAAATTATCAACCGCTTGTGGAGATGATGATAAGCGAAGAACACGTTTATCACAGCCATGCAGGTGCTCAATTTCTGATTGGAAAATTAAGGGAAAGGTGCTGGATTATTCAGACAAGGCGGGCAGTCAAGAAGGTTTTGAATCGATGTGTCATCTGCAGGAGATTCGACACCAAGAAACCAATTTTGCCAGCAGCAGCACTACCGGAAGATCGTGTCAAGACCGAAAGAGTCTTTCAAGTGACCGGGATCGATCTTGCTGGCCCATTATTTCTCAAAAGGGGAGAGAAGACGTGGATCGTCATATTCACATGCGCCACGTATCGATGTGTCCACTTCGAGCTTGTGGACTCGCTAAGTACCGACTGTTTCCTCTTAAGTCTGTCCAGATTCATCAGTCGCAGGGGCCGCCCAGAAACTATCTACCCGACAACGGGACGAACTTTGTGGGGGCCAGCAACCTGTTTCGAGAATTGGACTGGAAAACAATCGAATCGAAAACGAGAGTAGAGCGAATCCAGTGGAGATTTTCGCCACCTTCCGGAGCATGGTGGGGCAGATGGTGGGAGCGACTCATCCGTACAGCAAAGGGTCTACTCAAGAGGATGTTGGGTCAGAATCGACTCAATTACGCTCAATTGGAGACGTCACTTTGTCAAGTAGAAGCGGTGATGAAAGAACGCCCACTTACATACGTCACAGAGGACAACAACGACCTCATCCCATTGACTCCTTCAATGTTCCTGCGCGACACGCAAGAGACCAGTTTCCCAGAAGCTGAGGTGCTCGTGGGGGATGACATGAGGGGAAAGTTTAAAAATCTAAAGAAGTTGTGGGAGGAACTCCGAGGCAGATTTCGCAGCGAATACCTGGCTCTTCTCGTCCAAAGGGGAAAACTCCAAAAGTATCATGACTTTCAAGTGGGGGATATTGTGCTAGTGGGGGACGACAATAAGAAGCGTCAAGATTGGAAGCTGGGGAGAATTCTGGAGCTGCATCCCGGCAAAGATGGACATGCACACGTCGCAGATGTTAAAACGTCCCACAGTGTCCTACTCCGTCCACTCCAGCGTCTCTACCCACTGGAAGTACCAACCAATTTTTACGAAGGACCTCAAGATAATAAAACAATGAGAGAGGAAACCAAGCAAGAAGAAGAAGTAAATCGAGACCAAGCAAAAATAGTACAGATTTCAAATGAAACGACAACGCGAACCCGATCCGGAAGAGAAGTTCGCAAACCTAAGAAGTTTTTATGATCAGTGATTCATTAATTATTATTATTTGATTGTATTTGACATATTTCATTATAAGTTTCTTTTGCTCGTAAACTCCACAAAAGACAAGTGGGAGTGTAGAATAATATGGTCAAATTTATGAGGAAAATATGATATTTTATGTGTGATATGCAATTCCATTACATTAATTTAATTAGTTAAATCATGGCCAAGGTTGAGTCAATGTCCAAGTCAAAGTCATGTAATTGTGGGTTGTGTCTCAAAGTAATAAGGTGACATTGAGTGGAGTTGGCTGGATTTTGGGCCACTAAATCTTATGTATTTACAAGTTACAAAAGTGAATGTAAAATTCAGTTGCATTGTAAACGGCAACGAGTCGAGTTGCGTTTTAAGAGGCACTCAAGTTGCACGTAAGAATTTGAGAGTGCAACATATTGGCAATATTTTAGGGCAAAAAGCAACCAATTCTTTATCCAAATTTTGATGACTGTAATTAAGAGAATCTGAGCAAATTCAATAAATAGAAATTCAATAGTAAGACGCTATTTTCTCTATAAAACTGATTTTTCTAATCGATCATCTTGGTCTTAAAAACTTTGAAGGGCTTTCATGCCGGGTAGGGTGATCGTGCTTTCTACAGTTGACTTGAGTAAAAAGTGTAAAATTTCGTAGCGTTGACATACATACTTCATATAAAATTCAGGGTGCATTTACTTTTCAAAAGGGTAACATTATTTTAATAGTGCACTGATAAATAAATAAAAACACAGAAACTTTATCTGTTCGTTATCCCGCGGAGGACGGGATTTATAACTAGTAATCTATAACTTTAAAAACAGTCACTTTCTTCTTGCTATTTTCCTCATTAGTTGTCCTTATAAAACTCAAGGTAATGTTCTTAATAAAAATGTTTACCTTAACTCCAAAGAACCTCGTGAATATTTATGACCCACCCAGGAAACCTCGCATTAATCCGCTTCCGGTGATCATTCCATTTTCAGCCTTTTCAAACTAACCATCGTCAAAATGGCCTCGACTCAAATTACCCCCTTAATGTGGCAAGCTCTCGACAGTGGCGCAAATAGCACATAGGCAGGATATGCAATGCCTAGGGGCCCCGCGACAGCGGGGGCCCCCGAGTGGACGCAGTATCAAAATCTAAATATCTTGTTTCAAAATAACTTATTCAAAAATTTTGAAATCGAAGTTATTTCATATCATTTTAGTACTTACGTAATTTACATATGTAATTAGTATGTTGTACTTGTGGTTTTATTTTTGAGTTGATAGCCTAATTTGGAAGTCAACAAATGCTAAAAATATCAATTTAGCACGAGTTGGTGACTAATTTTAGTGAATTTAAGCCCAACTAATTTAGAACTCATCGGCAACACTAATTAAATTATTCAAAAATCACTTAATATTCAAAATTTCATAACCTTGTTAAAAATGCAGGGAAATGTGCGAAAACATATGTCAAGCTCAGGATGATTTGGGTTACAACTCAAAAATTAAACGACAAACGAAAAAAATATTACCAAGAAAACGAGTTTTAAGGAAAAAATAAATACCTTTGACCTTTCAACTTTATAGAAATTTCGCAAAAATATTAAACAGATGAAATTATCATCTTTCCAACCACTTATCTGGGAACATCTCGAGGCTCTGAACGTTCTGGTCGAACACATGTCCTCTTCGAAAATTAACAGAATTTTTTTAAATTCCAAATAATTTTCACAACAATTTTTTTCAAATTTCAAATAATTTGTTCAAAATTTCAAACAATTTGCGAAAAATTAAGTTTTTAGGTCATGCAATTTTTTACAATTTTGTGAATTTGTACCAGTTTTGGAAATTATGTATTTTGCTCGTCACAACTTGACGAAAAGTGAATTTTACAAGGAAATTCCTTCAGTTTGCTGGACCATGTATGTATAGTGGTTATTTTGGTATATCTAGGTGTCGACCACCACCCCTGTTGGACACCTCGGTATGTTTACTTGTTAGACACTTAAGAGAATGAACTAAAACTTTGGATAAACGTTTTTAGTTGTGTGATTTGATATATGTATATATTTGTAACGAGTATTCATAGTTTTAAGTGAATAAGAAGGATGAAATGCTTATGGAAATATCCCAGTTAAAAAATTGAACTTCGAGCTACTACATACATATGTTAATAAAGTTTAAATTCTGAGGCATGCCTAAGGGCCCCCGAAAAGTAGTTGCGCCACTGGCTCTCGATAATTTTGGCAAGTTGTACAGCCACACCTGGCAATCGAGGCTGGAGTGGGACGTTCCAAGAAAGAAACTTGTGGCAAACCCGATCTCCAGAAAGTTAATCACCTACCTTATCTCCATCCTGGTTTTGACCAATCTCCTCTACCACACTTGCCTTTTTCTAATCTGTGCCCAAATTTATGGCACGGTCAGTCTCACATTTTCCGAGTTGACCCTCCTCATCCTGATCTTTGTCTCGGTCGCGTTCGCATTCGGGTTGGAAGTAATGTTTCTCCTGGTTGGGGAGAGATTCGCGTATGCCGTAAATGTGATGATGAATCTGCAAAGGAAATTGTGTAAGTTGTGTATGGGAATAATTGTGAGATATACTGTATGCACACTTTGAAAATGGCACCCTTCTGAAAAGTAAATTGGGGAGATTGCGAATTAAGGGGTTTCATACTAAATTCTCAAGTTGGGCGAAGTAGCAGATTTTTCGCGTGAAACGACAATTTTTTGTATTAAATGTCTCTAATGAAACTGCACGAGTGTATTTAAGTTTCTGCTTCCTATTTTTGCAAAATGTTTTCGAAGTTTGATTTAAGGTAATAATAATTTAGCGTTTAGGTGTCAATTTTGTGTCAATGCCTTAACTCGCAATCTCCGTAACAGGCAAAATCCAGAGTAACATTAACTTAATTATTAATTCAAAATTCAATTGAGAGTGCTCATACTTTTCGAAAGGGTAACTTTATTTTGAAGCGAGAACATAATTTAAATTATTTCAGGTCCACCTTGGAAAGCGCTATCTCGTAAAGTCAAGTTCGACACGGTGGGACTCGTGCTAAACACAGTCGTCGCTGCATTCGCATCCTACGCGCCTTCTGGATATCTATTCACCGTCGTTTTCACCTCTTTGGACCCATACACGCTGGTCTACCGGTACATCATCCTCCCATACTGTCCTCCTGGTATGTGTTTCCATCGTAACATTAAGCTGTTCACATTCATTCATTGAATACAGAATGAATTTATACATTATTTACGAAATTAATGAATCATTAATGAATATTTTTTTAAATTTTTGAATGAATTGATATTTAATAAACATTTATTCATTTCAAATTCATTAAGAATGAAGGAATAATTTTATTCATTTCTCATTTTTTATCATAATTAATATTATCATTCATTACACCTATGAGTAAGGAATCAATATTTCTTCTAAAATTTTGAATAAATGAACAATGAATGAATTTTTTTAACTTTTAAATTAAACCAATACTTAATGAAGAAATATCTATTTTTTGAACAGCTCTCGCCACCCACGCATACTACCCCCTTCAACTCCTTCGCGTCACCCTAATCATCCCAATAACACAAGCCTATCGCGCCATGACGTTCATCATTTGTTTCTCCGTCATGACCACGAAACTAGACTTGAGCGGGATATCAAACCTGCTGAAGACCTCGGTCCGTATCAAATTTAAAAATCGCGCCAACATAGACAAGTATTTTATAGAGTATAACTCCTGGCAAATCGGGGTCCTGATTGGGTCCGACTTTTACGCGACGGGGGTCTCCCTCTGTATGTCGTTCTCCTTCCTGATTGCCGTCCTCTGTAATTTCATTACTTTTTTAATATTCGGAATCATCCCGACCCCGCTGTACGTGTGTTTTGTTTCCGTCGCGGTAATAGCGCCCGTCCTGATTCAGACGATGTTACAAATGCTGATTGATATTTCCGATTTCACCCGCGCGTTGCATCAAGATTGGAAACACCAGCTGGGTAAAAGCTTGGATAAGAAGTATTTAAAGAGGAAATTGAGGGCCATTCGTAAGGTTGCCGCGGGTAGCGAAAATGCTGCCCGTTACCCGACCCGCTACCCGCAGCACAACCACCCGTACCCGCACGGGTACCCGTGCGGGTACCCGTTACCCGCTACCCGTTATGAGAATTAAGTTAAAAACTAACCAACCTTCAGAATAAATTTGATTTAACCATTATTTGCCCATTTGGGTTGTTCAGTAGTTTGAGATAATGCTGTGCAAGTTACGAATGCCATATTTTGCAAGATCTCATTAGATGTTTCTGAAACCAGACTTTCAGGCAGACAATGGAACTGTTTTCAAGCTACACCGGAATTTTTTTTAGCGATTTATGTAAAAACAATCAAGGCAAAAATTAGGAATTATCACTTATCTTTCTGCTGAATAGCCCGTTAACGATAACTATGTATTGGGGGACAGAGTCCCTCATAGGTTTCGTCCCGTGGAAAAAAAAGATGCAGAGCATTTACTTAAAAATTCAACTTTGCCGCCAATATTATTCTTCAAAGTGGATATTCAATGGAAAGTATCATGCGATTCCTAATTTTTGGCTTGACTTATTGATATACTCGTTAGACAGTCTTGGTGTATCTTAAAAAAGGTTGAGTTTTTAGTTTGACTTTATGAAATTTCGACTTAAATGAAGTTTTCATTTAAGTTAGACAAATTGCCTAAAAATAAATTTTTTGCTTTCAATCGGATTCAGGTTTTTCATCTTCAAAGCACTAAACTAAAATCTCGTCAGTCTTATAAAAATACACACAAATACAAGTCAAATTATTACTGATATTTTAGAGCAGGCAAATTATGCTTGAGAAACAATAACTTATCCACATTATCCGGTCGTGAAAAGCATTTGAGACTGCCGTAGGCTTCTGTGGCTTCCGAAAAGACACGCTCAGTATAAGCGCTAGTTGATGCCAAATGGCAAATGGCAAATTTCGAAATTGGAAAATATTAAATTGACGCTT